AACGTTATAATCCATTAAAAAAAACTTTTTAATCAAAATTAAGTAAATTTTAAATATCTTATTGTATTTCTAAAGAAACAAATATTTAATAATAATCTCTATTAATATCTGAAATCATTAAATAATTATCAAAATTATTAATTGGTATTTTGATTTAGTCTGAAATGTGAAACAAGTGATAGAATGGTGCGATAGTTAGGATGAGCTCATTGTATGCGTCCGTATACTGGGATTTGGATACCTGTGCCCTCACACCTCACACTGATATTACTGTATTTCAAGAGGCCATCCGTGCGATCATTATTACTCCCAATAATCTCATTGAAAAGCACTTTGTTTGCCGACAATCGGGTCGTAACATACGTTTATCACGACTTCCCGGTCATCATCTCTCACGTCCTTTCATTGGATCTAATATTGATTTCTTTAAATCGTTCACAACTGAGACCTTAAGTGATAACAAAACAGCGTTTATAGCGATTACTGGCGATCGGCGTCTGATTGATATCATTAGACAATTAAGTTATCAAATATCGCCGCAAATAACACTTATTCACCCGAATATACCAGACATTAGATCCAACGGATTCTCGCCTAATGTCAGATGTTATGAATTCAATGAGTTTCTGAGATTTTATAACCAATACCTCATTTACTCGTTATACGTCCGCATGAGTTCACTAAACATCACCGAAACTGATCCAATGAATGGTATGAGTTATGACATTACTTTGTTAAAGTTGTGTAACAATATTGAAATTTTATCAAATATGTAATGTTTGATAATAGCAAACACTGGCATCACATCTGACAACACATCCCGTTCTCAAGAAGTATATTTAGCCCAACATTTGTTTGCATTTGTTTTGTATTAAAACTGATTTGTTTCTTATTCTTAACATACATTTGAATCGTTAGAACAATTCACTTGTTTCCACGCAATCTGAAAATAGGACACCACTTCATGGCTTATGGGATCAAACAAAAAGGTTAAACACTTAATGATAATATTTTAATGAATAATTGTGATTATTTCAGAGCGTATTGTAGTTTACGTCAAATGTGTTCATATATTAGACCTCAGGAGCAGATGACTGACCACCAAATAGATGGCAAAGACAATTGTAGTGCCAAACGACAGAAAGTGTCCAAAGGTAGTGATTATTGAGTAATTTATAATTCAATTATAAAAGTAATGTAAATATTATGTTATATTATAATTAGAAGAGTTGTCGCAAACACCACAAACTGCCATCGATTACGAGAACCCAATTGCCGGGCCATCAGGTGTTAGGGCAGACAAGTCTGAGCCAATGCCAGAACCAGTTGTTCACAATTGTGACCAAAATATCATAACTGAAGAATCGGATGAATCGGAGAGCGACGCGAAGTCTTCATTGTTTTCCACACAAAAGTTTGTATTAATTTTATATTAAATTTACAAATATTTTATAAATTAACGTTTTTTTAGGGAAACGTCTGCGAAGACTACTCAACAAAACAAGAAAAGCAAAAACAAAAAATCCAAGAAAAAGGAGAAAACAAATAATAAAGTGCCTAAAAGTAAGAGTGATTTGATTGTGTGGTTAATTGTATCGATAAATAACATGTGTTTTAATGTTAGCCCCAATCGTGAGCTCAAATGTGGACCGATATATGCGAGTGAAAGGCGTCTGTGGGCTGCGAAACCTCGGGAACACATGTTATATGAATAGCGGTCTTCAATGTCTCGTTAATATCGCACTTTTCAATGAGTTTATGACTCAAGACTTTAAGAATTTTCTGATCGTTTTGAACCAAACATCACAACAAAAATCATTGATTGAATTAATGGCTGAACTCATGGAAGAGATGTTGTCTTCGAGGTCTCAATCGGTTTCGCCGATTAATTTTCATCAAAAAGTGAGCAAAATTTTCGAAAGATTTCGTGGTTTTGGACAAAACGATTGCTCAGAATTCTTGGTCACAATTCTGGATCAGTTTCACAAAGAATTGCTTCAAATGAATGAATGCAGCGAACATTCGGACGCAATTGAATACAACAATTTTGATGATTACTTGCGATTTAATAACACATTTATTTCACATCATTTTCACGGCTTTCTCCGACTGGCCGTTGAGTGCGATTGCGGCCAAACTATTTCCTCCAATTGTCAACCATTTCCTATCATTAGTTTACCACAGATTGAGTGCAAGGATTTGGTTTGGATTGAAGTGTCATTAATCAGAAACAACAGCCAAAGAGTTGAGAAAATGCGATTGAAATTTGCAAAGAGTGAGACTCTTATCAGTCAATTGCTTAAGATATTGATAAAAACGTATTACGAAATCAGCGAAAACTCTTTTCTCTACAATCAACTCATCGTTTGTCACGTTTTTGATCATAAAATAACTAATATTTTGCATAAGAATAACGTTTTGAAGTTCACTGAGATTTATGGAGATATCTATGTCTACGAAATTGATCCGTCGTTTACAAGACATTACTTCATATCACTGTCCTATCGAAACGTGCGGTTCGGCACACCTTTGCTGTTAAATATGAATGACAGCAGATATTCAACAATTGAGTCCACATTTGTTCAACAAATCGCTAAATTTTTGCCAAACATTAGAAGTAAATTCCGCGAAGAATTGATTCAAACAAAGTTTCTCTATTATAGAGAAAGGCTTGTGAGCCGGGATTGGTCTCCGGATTTACCACATTCTGTCTGCACTTTCCTGGCCTACGATATGGATAATGTGTTGAGACAATTGTGTCATGACTATTACCAAGTGGTTTATCTCAATCCTAATCAGTCAAGTGGTCCGCATTCCTCATATAGTGACGCAATAGTAACACTGGATGACTGTATCAATCAATACCTGTCTTACGAAAAGTGTGACGAGAAATGTGCCGATTGTCGTACACGGGAGTCGACAGGCCGTCAACTTATCGGCAGGTTTTCAAGCCTGTCGTACGCTATACTACACGCGCCTAATGTATTGCTACTGCAGTTGAAGTCAAACCCTAGCCATCGATATAACTGTCAGTTTCCTCTCGTATTGGATCTGAAGAGTTATGTGACAAATTACCGCTCAGATGATGGACAGTATGTCTACGATTTGGTGGCCGTCTCTAACTATAGCGGATCCTCTTATAGCGGACACTATACCGCTTACGCCAAGAGTTGTCTCAACAATAATTGGTATGAATTCAAC